AATACTTCTTCACCATCGCCGTAGGGGGATACGAGAATGGGTCGAAAATAACTTTAAAGGTTTTTAAAAATTTTTGATGAAAATATCGACAATACACACTGCCTATATTAAATATAAAGTCTCCAAGAAATTTCATCCATTGGCTGAGCCATGGGCCTGAAAGGGTTAACTTGTACGCAGACAAGCTTTTCTTTTACAAGCACTTCAATTTTTTTCGCAGGATTTTTGCGTCATTTCGTGAAACTCTTGCACTTATAATTTAAACTAACTTTTGCCGATCAAACATCGTATTTATTTTGAGATGTCTATGAAAACAACAAATTCCTTTTCACTACCATCATTTGTATAAAGATAAATTTGAAGACCCACAGAAGGCGACTGTGCCATCGAAGATCAAGTTTTGTTTCGCTGGTTCGTCATACCAATGCAATTTTTCGAACATATAGATAAAAGACACTAGGCTATTATCTTCCAGAAATACGTTCAGAACGATACTTTGCAAACAACGCTTTTGAATCCTTTTACTTAGAACTTCGATCTCCGTTAAAAGAACAAATGAGAAAAGTGCGAACGATATATATATATAGAAAAGACAGAAGAAAAAAAATGTCGACAATCTGAACAAGTAAAATTAGATCATTCAGATGTGAATAAGCTTATTAATATATATGCAAGATAGAGAAAAATATTGAAAAAAAGTCTCTATTATAGCTGACTATAATCCATATGTGGGGTGTGATGTTCATGAATGAACCAAGAGGGAGACCGAGACCACAATCTAATGGAATCCTTATATCGTTCACAATTTACAGTTACTAAACGGAAAAAAATTACACTAATTTATTTATTTTCTGTTATCTCTTGACTTGTATATGATTTTATGTTATAATGTTAGGATTATGTCACCAATGACGAATGTCTTGTGATATTTCTACAATGAACTCTTCTATTAAATGAATTAATTAATACTTGTGTCAGTAGATATTGCTCTGATGACACTTTAGGAGAACATTTTCTGCCACAGGAGTTTGTCTCATTTCTCTTTATTTCTACGTACAGCTTTATTATATATTTGTAGAAAAATTGTTTAAGATAAATCATAGTGTTCTCTCTTTTGACGAATTTACAGAGAAAGATCAAATTCATAAATATCTTTGTCGACGTCTATCTGGAAGTAAGCATAAATAAAGAGAGGCACAAGCAAGATGTTTTACATATTTCATGACTCTGATTTGAAATCAATTCAGAAAAGCAAGGTTAGCAAATCTTGAGAACATAGATCTAGAATTTCTTCACTTAGCAATACAATTCAGTAAGCATGTCAAAACTGTCTTATTAAGATATTTTATTAATACAAGACGAATACATATAATATTTTTATTCTACGATCTAAATTCTTTTTAAGACTAGTATCACAACAATAATACTACATTTGTTTTGCTAAATCTATATGAATTCTATTAAATGAAATCTATGATGATTTACAAAGAAAAGTAAGTATGAACAATGATAATGTTATTTGTTTGTGACGAGACTATGTTCAACCAGCAATGGCTTGTAATGAATTCAATGGCCAAATATGCTGCATTACAGGTAAAACATGTACAATCTGTCGATGTCGTTTTTCCTTATATCGTCGTCGTTGAAACGAACGTTGCAAAGTCCGCTCGTCGATGGATAGTTCATTAACGAGCTCCGTGCATCTCATCTTACTTATATATCTATTATAACGAAATTCAGTCTCTAATTGTGCCAGCTGTGATTGTGAAAATACGTAACGACGACGCAAGTGTTCACTTCCGGTCAATATACAATGAGATGCCTCGACAAGCGCCAATGAGAGAGAAGAATTGCTATTTTTCTTGTTTAACCGGCAAATGAGTCGACGAAAATGAACATCTTCACATAGAACTTTGATTAGTTCTGCATACTGTCGAGCAGCCAGGCCTAAAAAATACGTTCAAAATCTGATTAGATTTTATTTTAAACTATAGATATGTTAAAAGTCAAGAATAATGTACGTATTCTCTTCTAATTTATACAGACTTCTATTGTTTAGTATCTTTTGTAATAAGTTAACGATATTTTACTTGATATAATTCTGAGCAGTATAAATGAAACTTGTCTCATTCTTTATGAAAATAATTTTATTTATCTATAGTTCCCCGTAAGACAATCTGCATGAGTTCTATATTGAACCTGCATAGGATGAGCTGTTCTTATCGAAGAAGACATATCGTTTGGTAAATATATCGAGCTCATTATGTCAATAATGAAATGCTTTGGAACTGTTGAAAACTCATCTTACAAACATTCGCTATGATTCAGGCATAGCAAACTGAACATGTTTCATATGAGACTTTGAAGCAAACTAATCAATTCGATAATTAAATATTTTCAGCGTAGAATAATCAAATAGTTCTTTAAGCTAGTACGAACTTGATAACGATTTCGTATGTCTTTGTGTCGTTCTTAAGATCAATATAAAAAAATTCTCAGTACTATAGAGAGAATTTTGGGTAACTCTAAGGCCAGTAGAAAAATATTGATTCAAGATCGTTCATGCTTCTGTTATTACCTGACGACAACTTCTTTTTGAGATTTTTCTTTGTTATTTTCTTCGTCTGTGATTTCTCTATGAGCGGAGCAGTAGCGCGACATCGTACCATTATGAATATATATGACTTAAGTTGAGAATTCACAAGCGGGCAATGCATATAAATGAGGTGAATCTATTTTCTATCTATATGACCACACAACGCCAATGAATAAACGACTAGTTCGTTCCAATCATTGGTTTAGTTAACATTTCAAATCATAGAACGAGGTCATTGAATAGAATCGAAGAAGAAAAAGTGAATTTTATTGGCTAGTTGGATATGGGATAATCAATATATGGAGATACAATCAACGGTTTACCTAACATTCGATGATATACATTGTTTTGTTTTTCAAAATATTTCAAATTTTCTTAGACTAAAAAGTCGAGCGATAGTACTTTGAAAATATTGCATCCCACAAGTTTGTAACTTTAGAGTGGTAAATATAAACGATCTAATTCATGAAATGTAGAGAACTAATGACATCCATGTTTGATTGCTCCAGAAAACTAGGGTGTTGGTATCGAGATCAGCGAAGGGAAGACTCACACTTAAATTCACCTCACACCCATATCCACTCTTTTAAAATGAGTTCTGCAAATTGAAGAAAAAATTACAATTAGTTGTGTCAAAAATTGTATTCATGAATATTTCAATTAAATAGAATAAATCATTGTTAGCAAAGTCAATTACGATTTAATGAAGTTTTTGAAATACCATTCATAACCAGCTTCATAATTTTGATTATAGAAATGGAATATACTATTAAAAAATGAATCAATAAATGAATCTCCATGTGAGAAAGAACACGAGAACATTGAACACCACATGGATATATTCATAGACCCTGGATAATTAGATATTCGATAGAATGAATTCTTCAGAGTATATGTGTTCAGAGCAAAACTATAAAGTGCAGAGGAAATAATAGCACGAGATCGGAATATAGATTGTAACTTGGACGATGGATAAAATGATTCCATGTGTTCATTTGTTTCAATCCTAATCAATTTTCGTTCAATTGATAATATAAATTCTCTATAATCATGTGCACAGACATAGTTATGTGAAACTGCTTCTTGTGCCATGAAGTCGGATATTGCATTACCTAGTGCATATTGTTCAATACAGAAGCTCGATCCAACAAAATCTGGATTTGGATCATGGTACATTGTAAATGGTTTTGGTTCAATCCACATTTTCCATGCATTTTTCCACAAGCCAAAGAATGTACTCATACATGATGACTTAAAACCCATAAAACATGCTTGTGGTATGAATGTATCTTGATGTTGTTGTTTCCATCTGGCGACAAACGATGAATCATACATCACATGATCAAGAATGAAATAAAACAAGTTGGAAGAGCGTCGAAATTCTTGTAAATAATATGTCAAATCTTGATAAACAATTATATCTGAATCCATCCAGTAGATATCATCAAAACCATGATCAAGAAATTTAATAATATCTAATTTATATTGTGTAGGATTCCAGTCATCAAAATGCGGTGTCTGGGATATATATTTACATAAAATACGATGATGATAAATTTTGGCAATACACGACATAACTTCATCTCGTGTATCATCGTTTTTAACCAATAGACCAACCATTACTTCTGGAGTTGTTCTTAGAAATGAATTAATTGCATTTATTGTCATATTCGTATATCGTGTGGTTCCATCGGCAAAAAAACATACAATTGATGAAACAAGGGAATATCTATTTGTTATATGTCCATATTGTCGTAGTATTGTAATAGATTGTGATAAATCGGGATTGGTTTCTATATTCGTATTCAGCCACCGATGTAAGGCTACATTGGCCATGGTTTTGTTAGGAATTTGAAGTTTTGAATGAGAAAGTATATCTTGAATGATGTTATAATCTAATTTTAAGAATTCATCTTGATGACAAAGATATCTAAAATTTTCAGCTACAATTTGAATAGCCAATCGACGCACTCTTAGCCAATCCTGTTGTAATTCATTTTCCATGGACAATAATAGTAAACAATTATTAACATCGATGTTGGTACTGGCTAGATTTTGTTGTATAATTTCAACAAGTGTTGGTATTTTATATGTGTGAGCAATTTGTAATAATGATTTTAATTGCTTGTACTCAAGAGAACTTGGTATTATGCCAGTATATAGATATTTAAACATAATATGAAAACTAGGCAAATCATTAGCTTGTACTTGTATTTCGGCTGGAGTTTTTACGTCGTCTTTTTCAAAGAGTGTTTTAAAGTAACCAGATTGAATTGATAAAATAGCTCGATGCGCTTTGTAATGTCGTGTCGCATTGACAATAAGCTCAGTGTCCCAGAGTATAGGTTTTTTGAATAATAATGTACTAGTATTACAGTAATTAATGCTTCTATTTGCATCGTCATTTTCGTTTGTTGGATTTAAACATCTTCCTTCCAATATTGTTTCACCATTTCTTATACGTTCTAATAAATCACATCGTTCGACAATGAGTTGAATAAAGTCATCTTTCGTTATAATGTTATTATCGTTTCGTATTTTTCTCTCAGTATTCAACACCCATGGTAGTTTATTGTTCACTTTAAATTTGTATTCATAATCACCAGGCAAAAGTGAAAGAGTATGCAGATACACATATTTTTCTTGCTGAGGAGATAATGAGTTTTTGTAAGCATATGATAATCTTGCAAGTGGCGAAGTCCAATTATTGGATGAACAGTACAGTTCAACACGATCTAAATTTGACTTGGTGCACAACTGAAATATTACAGGATACGTACGTCGATCCCACGATTCAGTCATCTTTTTCTTTTTATCGAAGTTTCTTTTTTGAAAGAGAACGTGAGAATGGTCGTAAAATTGCTGTCGTTTTTATCTAAAGACGACCACTTTTATTACTAAAATGCAGGTAACCAAACACATTTTCTAACAACAACCAAAAAAATGACAAAACATTTAGGGTTTTATCACTTATCGCGAAAGTGCAATTATTGCTCAGAAATCTGATTACAATCTTGCCTGTGGGCGACAGGAAGATTCATACCCTAGTGTTCTCTTGCACACGTTGACATAGACCGAAATTCAGCTACATCAATTATTGATGTTTTGTCGTCAATCTTTGTCGATTTTCAACTGTAACGCAATCAGTGTTGTTCTATTCTATTTTGATTTCTCGTTGACACTCATTTCGCTATCACTCAGTGTCGAAACACTCTTGTGAGTCGAAACAACGATTAGTATCGTTTGACATTGATGTGCAATCATTTTTGCTGAACAGAAATCCCTTTCAGTATTTTTTGTATCTCTGTGAGCATATTGAAATGCTGATGGGAGGAAAGGAACAGAAAATTTTCAGATAGAAATGTGTACTCAATATTTTCATAGTGAGATCCATAAAAGACATCATCATACAGTATGTTTTTTCTCTGAGACCGTGAATGAAAGTCTTTTAACTATTTACGTCACAAGCATGATCGACTTTAGTCATATTTTTCTTTTTCTAGCTTTTATTCAAGCAATTGTGTTTGGCAAAAATGACTCAATGTCGATGACGTACATTTTTATATCATAGAAGCAATTATATAAGAGCTACAACATCAGAACGCTCGTGCATATTCCATTGTTGCATGCCAAATGGAACCATTCTTATATTTTTCTCTCTATTTAATACGTCATATAATTATTGGATGAATTTCTATTGAGTATGCAATAAAAAAAAAAGAATAACAAAAATTAAGCATCGAAATTTTGGTCGATTTTTATTTTCTTGGGATTTTGGTGCTTCGTGCTCTAGCTATATTGTACGGCATCAAACTCATTTACATAGTGATATTAAATGTACCAACGCATATGAAATAGTTCTGAGGCAATGCTTTAGAGTTCAATGAGTTAACTTATTCTCACATACAATTAACTTCACTAGAATTTCTCTAGACTATGATGACACCATACGCGATCTATTACTGAGTCTGTTCTTTTTCAACGAAAATTGACTAAAAGTACTTTCTCTTTCACTAGTTTCCACAACAGATACTCATTTATGTCGATAATAATATAGTGGAAGAAGCGATCGTCAGTATTTCATCCATTGGCTGTGATAACAACGAAGTACAGTGCATGACAAGTGTAGCTTTGTTGTAAAATTAATTGAAAGTAGTTTTCATAATAGAATTAGTGAGAACAAAAGAAAACTTTTCAATAGAGCAACGTTAAAAGTCAAGAGAGAAAATATTTTTCTCCTTATGAAAGAAGATTGTCGTCCTGCGAATTTCATTTCTCAGTGTTTCTACTGTCGACGAAAACTACTCTGACCGATTCCTCACTTTTGAGCTCATATTTTGTTTGAAAGTTCATATCAGTGAAACTATAAAAATGTCAAAATGGTAAATGTAAATTCACTTCTCAGACAGAATTATAGTTATTTTACTCAGATTTTCGATTGTTAGGTAAAATATTTATCGACACGCAAATTACGAAATTTATGCTTAAAAGACATAAGGAAGACGTTAGCATATCAAATGATTGTAGTTATTACTTTATTTTTTATCGATTTTTTCTCATGCTAATTTCACTGTTATCTCACGAGGCACTTGGAAAAATGTCGACTAAGACCTTCAATAAAATCATAGACGACGTGAAGAGAAACTGACCATAATATTTAATGAGCCACGAGAGTGTGGGTGGGTGACGCTATGGTTGTATTGGAGATCATGAAGTAACAGCAACATCGCATCTGTATCGAACATTTTTACTCCACATCCACCTACTCCCTCAAAAGAGTTATGTTGAAGAAGTGGAAGTAAGAAATCTAAGTGCATCTTGAACAATTTTCTCACCATCCGAAAAACCTTGTTTTTGGTCATGAAAACAAACGATCGTGCAGTATGCACAAGTTCTCGCTGATAATAATGTGTTTATAATTACAATACTCAGGATTCATTCATATATTTATCCTTCTTCTCTATCCTATATTGATTTAATGGAATAAATCAGTTTTGCTGACTTTAGCCAAATAAAAAAGTATAATTTGTATTTCTATATCCACATAAACATATTGTTAATCATTTATCATTTATAAACTTAATTATTTCACAAATATTGAGACACGTGTATAATTAACTTTGTCTTTATATTGATGATAGTCTCAATTACTTAATTCTCTATATTGAATTTAAAATAGGTATTTGACGATAGAAACATTTTCATTAATAAAATTTCGAATGATGTTGTTTCATCTTGTTGAATTTCTACTTCTGATTGAAAGTATTAAGGGGATTACAAGTCCAATTACACCTTACACAAAATACAACCATTCAGTTAAACTCAAAACAAATATTGCTGATCTTTGGTGGACAATAAATGAAACAAAACAAGAAATTCTTTTTGAATTACATATTCATACAACAGGATGGATTGCTTTAGGTGTCAGTCCATTTAAGTATCTAATTATTTTGATGAAATATTAATCTTTAGTTTATTTAATTTAGCTGGTGGAATGAATGGTGCTGATATTTGAGTTGGATGGGTTGATCAATCGGGTAATGTACATTTCCAAGTGTGCACATTTTTCTTCAAATTTACCCATATAGATTTATTTGTTATAAGGATCGATATGCATTTGATACTGTGATCCCAATTGTTGATAATGCCACAACTGATTGGCATGCACTTCAAGAATGTGAACAAAATGGTTGAACAGGTATTCAATTTAAACGTTTATTTGACACATGTGATATAATGAATGTATCAATTAAGGTATGAAGAATTTAATCATAACTATTCTGTATCATTTTGATATTCACAGTCAGGAACGAACAATATTCTATATGCTTATGGTCTTATCGATCCAGATAGTGATATAACCTATCATGAAACACAAAGAGGTTCACGTATTTTGTCTCTTCGATCTTACAATGATCCATCATTAGAAAGCAAATTTACTGAATTCGACTATTTCGATTTCCGATTAGATAATGTAAGCCATGTTTGAGTTTTGAACATATATTATAGTTCGATTTTATATCTTTCGTATATCATTCCACCTAAAGATACTACATACTTTTGTAAAATATACAAAACATCGAATAATTATTCGTCTAAACGGCATGTTATTGCCGTATATAGTTGTGTTTGATATTTTTTTAAAATTATTTATTTCTTATAGAATAAATTTCTAATTGAATCCATCGATCAAGATTTTATTCATCATATTCTCATGTATGAATGTGATTTGATGGTTCAGTTTAATGATTCAAATTTGCCCGAAGGTTTCTGCAATAAAACCAAAAATCAGATTGAACTATGCAGATTTAATGTTGCTGGTGATTATGTAATAGTTAATATCATTGTTTTTTCAAGAAAAAAAAAACGATAATCTATATATTTAAATAGATGATCGAATACCCTAGCGAAGCTGGTTATCCAATAGGTGGTGATTTTAATATAAAATATTACATGATTGAAATTCATTTTAATAATCCAAATCAAATATCAAGTATACAATATAATTGATATTTTATAATGAAAATATTTTATATTGGTAATTAATTACGTCAATATGATATTGGTTATTTAACATTTGGTACAGATATAATGGTAACTAATCTTGCTATTCCATCAAATGTTCAAAACTTTATTATTGATTCTTATTGTTCTCGCAATGCAAATATAGTTTGTTTTATATTTTATGATTGTTTTGTTTTCTTTTATAATCTAGAATATTCCATAATCTGGAATTACAGTTAGATCAGCTTTTCTACATGCTCATTTACAAGGTAAAATAACAAAAAATTAATTCTTAATGAGAATTATTTGAAATATAGGTCGAAGTATATCGACAAAAATAGTTCGAAAGAAAAAAAAGCTGTAGAATATTTATTTAATGGTGATTCATTTAACTTTAATTATCAATTTTCAAATTGTCTCACAAAACCAATTCAATTATATTCTGTAAGAAATAAATATGTTTTTCATTTTAATATTTTATTTTTTTAGGGTGATGAATTTGCTACTTGGTGTGTTTATAATACAATGAACAAGACGCATATTACCTTTGTAGATTGATCAATAAAAATTTACGATATTAAGCCCTTTTTTCATTTTTAAGGAGGTGAAACTGTACACAATGAAATGTGTCTTCATGTATTTACTTTTTATCCTCGAATGAATGATATTTCTATTTTTATCATGGCGATTGTTTATGAAAAAAACGTTTCGTAATTTAAAATGAATTTTGTTTTTATTTTTACACAAAAAAAGATTAAATTAAATTTTTCTTATTTAGATCAAATTTTAATTATGAAGAATTTAATGAATGGTTAATGAATATTAGTGGGACACCACAATTAACTAGTCAATAGCAAGAATTTTATAATAATGCTTCACGTCTTGTCCTTTCTGGTCGAGCAGAAAATCTTCAACTCTTAGCGTTGATTCACTTGCAACAATATGAAGATTTAAAATAAAAAGAATGCAACAGAACATCAATCGGCAATCATACTACGAATATTATTTCTAGTTTTAATACAATTATTTTCTTAGTGATGAATTTAATAATATTAATAAAAATATTTCGGCTTGTTCATATAACACGACACTTTGCTGATCAAGTTTTTCAATTACGCTAAGGACAATTTGTACATTCTTCCACAGTTGTCAATCTACTGTATAGTTAATGAGCTGCCGCTTTTATGTATCCACTTGATTCTTTCTTAGAACAATTAGATATGTAGAAAAGATCAATATGTATGATCATCAAATATTTCCGAGCACGTTAAGCACCTCAAAATTGATCGACAAAAAAAGCTGTGTAACACGGCTACGTTTGGACAAGCCAGTATATTGATATCGTGCAATATATCCCAGCAACCTGCTGTAGATTACATATTATCGTCCCGAGTATGACACAAAGGCTTCAATCGCAAGGTAAGACGAAATTTTCCATATCTAGATCAGTCTTTTGAAAACTTCAAAAGGAGAATAGCATGTCGGATAAGTCAATACCATTTCTGTCTATGCGACGACGACTCAATGAAAAAAAAGCGTACTTTTGAGTGCCTCTTGGTACTTCTCATACTTATTTTTACTTCTAAGCTTTTTTAAACTTATATACATAACACTTATATGTCACTTGATACCGACGTTATTATATGAACTTTTAATATTTACGCCTAAATAACATTTTGAAACATCTAAACAATGCACAATCATATGCATAAAAACAGGAAATAAAATGAAGCGCGTACAATAAATGATGAGAGTGAAAATATTGAAGTTTGAAAAAAAATAAGAGAGAATGATGACAGTATTATCATTACCAATACTATTGCTGATGAATAGGTAAATGATGACATCTTCGTCGATCAAAAAGATGGAAGAGATTACAGCATGACGACAAAAAGAAAACTGATTTCTACGATAAAAGTATTTCAGATGAAATCGAGCACTGTGCAAGAGGTTTTTGTTTTAAAGTGTATAATAATGATCATCTAAAATACATAAATGTGAAAAATCGATTTATTGCATGTTAAACAATAAAAAAATACGATTACTAAATGTGCGGCTTTCTCGTATTTTGTAAATAATTTACAAAGAGAACAACAATCTACCTTAATTTATCGACTCAGCAGGTTGTTTTGCTACAAATGCATTCGGAAGAACTTCTAGTTAACTATTGTGTTGCCTATATTTTATCGTAGTTCAATACTTTCTTCGTCATACTTGATGCTTCACCCTACTTCTGAAGTAATGGAGTACATTTCTTTTCCATTGAGACAATTTCATTTACGAGTTTTTCTGATGCCTACTGTTCCTATATTGAATGTATCGTATGACTTATAATTTTCAACTTAAAGAAATTATCCATGGTCGCCCATTAAGAATATGTAAAAAGACGCGAAGCCTAGCTACTTATAACTAATTCATCTACACGTTATTCGGCACATCAGTGCACCAGTGAACTCACCAGATTTCGATAAGATATGAGTTAGATAAACTTCACGAAGAAAACATTCGTATTAGTAACATGCTTAATCATGGAAAAGCCACCAGTATATCCTATATTGTGCATTTATTATGAACAAAGTCTATGTAGGGCTGTATATAGAATTGCATACTCCGAAAAAGAATTTAATATACACGACATATAACAGACAAGGAGAATAAAATGGCATCCATTACTCTCACAAAATATACAAGTTTCTCATGAATTACATCACTAACTGATGGAATACAATCTATTTTTCGATGTGAGCAAAAGAGACAAGTATATGTTATATGGAATAGGATGTAAGTGTGACTTCTCTTTAGTGCACCCACGTCCACACCCAAAGAAAAGAGAACAAAAACAAACAATTCTTATAAGCATAGTTGCTAGAGAACCTGAAACATGTTAATGAAACAAACGAAGATTAATAAAATTAATGAAGATAAAAGAAATTATAAACAATCAATATAAACAGACATACTTGATCCGAAAGATTAGAAAGATTGAACTTCTAAAAGCACAAGCATACATTAAAAAGAATTCAGGCATCTAAAATGAACAAAAGAAAGTTAAAAGAAATGGTGTATTATAATTGAAAAAAAAGGGACAAGTCACATTAAGATGATAATAAAATGAAAAGTAATGATACGTTAAAATAGAACTTGATCGTTGATGTAAGAAGATGTTCAAGAAGGTTGGAAAAACATCATACAAAGAATAAATTTTTGTTTATTTTTATTGATCTGTATTATATCATTATCATACATTAGAACTTATCACTGTTGGAATCGAAAAGTACTTTCTCTACCTGCGTGAGATTTATTTGTATCTCAATAGATGTTATTAGTACTCGATCAAACAATAGTTTGAATTCAAATGAGTCATGAATCAGTGCTGAGTTATAGTATAGTTTCCATCGGCATTTTGCCTTACTTTGTGAGTCAAACAAAATTCTCTTAAATAGTATTAAAACAAGCAGGATACTTTCTTTTTATTTTTCATTTGTTTAGAAAGTGAATAAGAGATATCTTTTGAATAATGAATACAATTCAATCTGCCATCTAACAAACTTCTCTTGTACATATAGATATTGATGAAGAAAAGCATAATTTTGATTAATCTTCGTGGTGTACTGCTGCCGAGCTTTGTACCATCCTTTTCGGAAGGTACCATATATCTTCTGATAATCGCTGTCTGAATGCTGAAAGTTACATTCTATTCTCTGTAGATGAACGCTCAGCAATTATTATTAGTACATTACTGACTGGAAATAATTTTATTCGATTAACAACTGATAAAAGCAAGCCTATAACTATACCAATTTCAGAAAGAAAAACCGATTTCAAATATGTAGAACAACTCAGTCAATCAACAAGAACGTCTATAGCGGACCTAAAACTACTTACTTTTATGCTAACGCATTGATAAAATGAGATCATTTTAGCTCTTGATTTAGAACTTCACGTGAAAAGAAGTATTTTATAAGTGATATACTTTTCGAGGTATTCAAATGGATACAGGGGTTTATACACCTGTAGGGTTTCTTCTTATCGAGGTCCACACTCTCTATCAGCTGTTATTACAGCTGAACATAGACAATGAATCATATTGATAATTAAATTATCATTTAACAGCGTTTTTAGAGGCACGTTGATATGATTTGATAGAGTTCTTGTATATAGTGATAAATTTTATTATGACCGCTTTTCATCTTGTTTTTGACTTGGGGTGTGAATGTGTGTTGAAGAGAAGATCTGCATCTAAGCCGACACCACACACACTCGAACCCCAAGATATGGCTACTTTGTCTGAAACATATGAGCGTCGTTGAGAACTAGGCACTTGTAGCCTGGAACAATAAGAAAAGTAAACTCAATACTACTCTTCGGCTAATGAAGGAACCTTTTCAGATGCTTCCGTCAGATTTCAATGAATTTTTGTCTATAGGTACTACATGGCGTCCTCATAAAAACTCTACGAGGATTTGAGCTCCTATTGCTTGCTTCAAAAGTTATGCATATTCTTATTTTGCCCCTATAAGACATAACATATAATATTTAAGAGAGTATTCGACAGATTACCAATCAGGTCTGGTTCTGCTAAATATTGTTTCTGTTTATTTAGCGCAAATGAAAGATCAAATTGAGAAACTTATAAATCCAGAATATCAAATTGTTGTGAAATACTTGTGAAAAATGCCAAGATGCACAATCTTCATTTTTCTTGTGATTACATCATAAAAATTCAATAAATGTTTTTTTAACATATTGATGATTCTTTTGAGAATTTTTGTGTCTCTGATCGCCCCGTTGACCCAGAAAAGGTCTCAGAAAAAACTGAGAAGAATTCTTTACAAAATGGGGTATCCCAGTGTTTATTACGATAAGTTTTAGTAGTTGATTCTGCTTGCAGAAAAAAAGAGGGTCTATGCTTAATGGTCATTCTTTTGCTTGCAATTTGTTCGTGACCTCAAGGAGTTACGACATTGCAAAAAAATGAATCGAATTTCTATAAACCGTTGGCATTCTTCATCTTGTGAGACCTTTCCTCGGTCAATGGGGCGATCAGAGATTGAAAAATTCTCAAAAGAACCATCAATATGTTAAAAAAAACATTTTACTGAATTTTTATGATGTAACCACAAGAATAACGAAGATTGTGCTTCTTGGCATCTTTCACAAGTACATCACAACAATTTGATTTTCTGGATTTAAAAGTTTCTCAATTTGATCTTTCATTTGCGCTAAATAAACAGAAACAATATTTAGTAGGACCAGATCTGATTGGTGGTCTGGCGAATCTTCTGTTAAATATTATACGTTATGCCTTACAGGGGCAAAATAAGAATATGCATAACTTTTGAAGAAAGCGATAGGAACTCAAATCCTTTCAGAGTTTTTATGAGAACGCCATGTAGTATCTATAGACAAAACTTCATTGAAACTCGAGGAGACATCTAAAAAGTTCCCTCATAAGTAACTATTGTCAATCAGATGAAATACGGTTGGATAGTGACTGATTAAAATAGACGGTACCATCGTCAGCAACTGTCAAATAATTTTTTTTTGGTTGCTTGAAACGTGCACTTTGAAGTGCTTAAGCGCTTAAAACTTTCAGCGCTTAAAAGTAGAAATTCAGCCGCTTATAATCCACTTCACAAATGTGCACTTTATATTGATTTTATCCAAAACATAAATCGACTCAAGGCTGCTTATTTGCTTCGATTTTCACATAAGATGCACTTGTAATCGATCCCTTTCCTACAACATCATCTAATGCTGCTCACCTGGCGACAACCTTACTTTTGCTCTTGGTATTTCGATATGTGGATTAAGCTTTGTTTGGCTTATTTGCCATGAGGATTAGTGGAACAAGTTGATGTAATAGATCGGGTGTTTTCATTTTAACTTCTAACCCGTATCGAATTACACTCTTCAAATCCCTTTTCTATATATTTGGGATTAGTTCATGGCAGTAAAGTGCAGTTTGATTATAATTTTTGTGAATAGAATGAATCTGTTGATTTCTCTGGTTCTTACAATAGTATTTAGCAAGGTGGTCTGTATTGATGTACTGGTACCACTGTCCAAAAGTGTTCCTGATCACACGTTTTATCCTTATATCATTCATCCTCGTCAACCGCAACGATTGAATTTAACTAAACGGTCACCTCTGCACACGAATAAATTCTATAGTAATGCGATATTGGGTGCTAATGGAGACAATCCACTCCTGACACATCCATATGTTATCTTGATGAACAAAGATTCACCATATGGTGTTTCGATTTCGTTCACTGAAGAATGGTCATATGGTCCTCAAATTGACAGTACTCGAGTAAAGTATTTTGTCAACAGTATTGTGAAAAATATTCAAATGAGCGCCTTGGAATTTTCCTCCCAAAGTTTTGAAGTCACAGATGTCGATGAGCCAGGTTTTGCTTGTACAATCAAGATGTATCAACAAAATTCACCGACGACCATTACAATGCCGTTAATACGTGGTATGGCCTATGTGACATTTGAATTTGTTTCTGCAACACCACGTATCTCCACTATACATTCAATGCTCTCAGTCAATGGACAAATCTCTGGCAATATAACCGGAAAACGCTTCGAAATAGTCCTCAACAATAATCAAACATGGTTATTGTATGCTATTGATGGTAATATCACATTAAAGTTCAGTGAAAATCAATTGGTGGGCATTGAGCCTGTGACTAATGTGCTGCGTCTGACTAAAAAACAGGCTGAGGCATCAGCGAATGCTGTGCTAGATACACAAGTTGGGGTGTATCCCGTTGGCTGTCAACTACAGGCCAATGTCACAGGATTCCAAGGCTCATACATGTTTAATTGGCAGCTGAAAGGTGACCTAAGCAAGACTCTGCTCCATTTCACTTTTCCTCATCATCGACAAATCTTTTCGTCGTTCGATTGTCAAATCACAAATGTTCAAGCCATGTCGGCTAGTAAAGGCCTCATGATAGGCTATCTGGCCAACAAATGGATACTGACAGAAAACTCTCTCTCTACTATGGGTTTTCTATCACCATATTCACCAGCACCTCAATATAAAGACTTGATTGTAGCACAACTGAAAAAGGATCTTGCGATTGGGACTAATTTGACAGTGTCAGATTATTATTTTACTGGCAAAGAGTTTCACAAATATGCCTTACTCTGCTTGTTGGCTGAATACTATCGAGAAACAGTTCAATTGGATCAATGTATTAAGATACTTAAAGCAGGTTTTGAAGTGCTCGTCACGGGAAAAAATACCAATTCTCTACGCTACGACACAACATGGTCCGGATTAGTTTCTTCGGCTGGCTTAGGGTAAGTTTGTCTTGCATTCAAGAATTCTCATACGAAATTGGTACGGATAGGCCGGGTCAAGAACTGGCTGATTTCGGTAATTCATACTACAATGATCACCACTACCATTGGGGTTATTTCATTCAAGCAGGCGCTATCATCGCTCATCTCGATCCAAGTTATTTGCCGAAAATACGCAATTGGGTGGAAGGATTGATTCGTGATGCAAGCAATCCCTCGCCCTTAGACACTAGTTTCCCACAATTTCGTTATTTCGATTGGTTTTCAGGTCATAGTTGGAGTCAGGTACAGCGTAAAGCATCTCGCTTTTATAATATTGTTCTCAAATCAATAGGGTTTATTCGAATCGGCGGACGGCAAGGATCAAGAATCGACATCAGAAGAAATCAACTTTCACTATGGCATTGCTTTGTGGGGATTAGCAACTCAGTCATCGAGCCTCGAAGGTCTTGGTCGGCTGATGCTAGGCACTGCGAAACGAGCCACTCAAACTTATTTTCTTATGGATAGTGATAACAAGGTTATGCCCACAAAAATTATCGCCAACAAAGTAACTGGTATTTTCTTTGAGAATAAGGCTGAATATACTACATGGTTCGGAGCTAATCCGGAATTCATTCATGGCATTCAGTGAGTTTATTCTATTCTTTACTTTGTCAGGAATGAACAATGAAATAAAAATGACATAGAATGATTCCTTGTACACCGATTACGGAAGAAATTCGTCTGGCGAAATTTGTCAAAGAGGAATGGACGACAATTTTGAGCAAGATCGTTCATGATGCCTTTCAGGGATGGAAAAGTATTTTGTATATGAATTATGCTATTATCAATAGAGACGAAGCCTTCACTCAACTCCTCAGTGTACCACTAGACAATGGTGTGTCTCGCACATGGGCACTAGTAAGTCGTTCTATCTTGGAAGTGCATTTACTAGTTGAGATAGCATCATTGAAGCAAAAAAAAGTGGTTATCCAGCTTAGTCGCTGTATCTTGAATCAGTAATCGAATAGAGCTGAAAAAACTTCTTGTTTAAAGCAATCTTTGCGGATGAAATGTCTCTTATCGAAACAGAATGAAAAGTATATTTATTTTCTAAAATAGTATTGGGCAGCCACTCGACCGAACACAAATGGTAGTGATGGAACCATATCGACATCGAAACCCGAACCATCATTCTGCATAACATCCAGTTCGTCTACTGTAGATAGTAGTGAATACACCGTGTCTCTTGGAACTTCTTCCACATCACTGACTTCAGTCACTAATGCAGCTGCTGATCACGCACCTACTATGATCACAAGCGTATTAGTCAAGATGGTAGTAGTCGTGATTATGTCAAGACCAACTGCTGTCTTTGTGCAAGAAATGCTGCCATGACGAAGCATTCTTTTCTAAAAATACACTATTTGTGTTGCGTATTTCTATTTAAGATCCAATAAACAGGCAAGTTCATGATCGCCTGATGTTTTTATATGGCAAGACATGGGGTGTGGGTGTAAGTGTGAGTGTGGATGGATGTGGGTGGGAGGTGGGTATGGGTACGAGATGTTGATGTGAGTGTTAATGCGATTACCAGTGTTGGTTTGGGTTTGTACGATCTATTGAGCTGCTCTCACATTCACAATCACATCGATACTTCTATTCACATAAAAGTCGACACTCAAGCATGACAAAAACGAAAAAGTATTGACTATGGGTATGGATGTGAGTGATGATTTTAAGAGAATAGAACACCCATACCCACACCCACATCGTTGAGAGCTATTTTGGACTAGTATTCGATGACTTTCGAATAGCGGATAGTAGGTTTGATTTGAAAGAAATGTCATATATGAAATCACAACAAAAAACTGAGTTGCCCTATAAGGGTGGCCCAAAAGTAAAGAAAAATAGAGTAGCTGCCTAATTCGACTTATAATATAAATGCACAAAATAAAACTAAATCTATTCATAGGAATAGATTTAGTTTTAGTTATAGTTATATAGATATACATAGATATACATAGATATACATAGGAACGCTCTCACCCCCCCCCCCCCCCACCCAGCGCCCCCCTCCCCCCCCCCCCCCCCCCACCCCCCGCCCCCCCC